CGGTCACCACGCATGGTTCATCAATCCATCATCATCATCATCATCATCCACCCGTCACGATCAGGACCAGCAGCCATCGTCCACAAACGCCTCATCCACCAACCGCTTCATTAGCCACCGATCGTTCATCATCTCCCATCTCATCATCATTCACCTGCCCCTCGTCATGCGTCCATTCCCCTCTCATCCACCCATCCCATCCTCTCAATCCACCCATCCCACCCTCAATCCACTCATCCCATCCTCTCAATCCACCATTCCCTCATCACCCACCCATCCCTCAAAGTCTACCCATCTCCCATCCACCCATGCTTTACTAAAACTCATGTATATATATTTTTTATTTAACCAGGTAAGGCCCACTTCGTTGATAGCTCAACGAAGTGGCTTATCGCGTGTACATCTATAGCAGCCAAGTACTAGAAATGCAAGTTTAGAAATGTGGAGGAAAAAACCGGAGGACCCGGAGAAAAATCCACGCGACTACGGGGAGAACATGCACACTCCAAATATACAGCAGCAGGCGTCAGGGTTGGGATCGAACCCACGACCTCCTGTATACCAGGCGAGGTAGTTAACATCACACCACCATGGCGCCCTTACCATCCACCCATCTACCATTGTGCACTCATTCCTCATCATCCAGTCTCCTTACAATACACGCACCCCTCGCCATCAATTAGCACCTCCGATTAGCACGGTTGGCTGCGTACGGTGCGAAAAAAGTTCAACATACACACGTACACACACGCCATTCACTCTAAAACCATGCATCATCCACTCACCCTCCTGGCCCACCCGCGCCTCCTCTGCCCGGCAGCACCTCGCGGGGTGCCTGCCGCGTGTCGCCTCGTGCCGTGGGCCGAGGGAACAGCGGGCGGGGTGAGAGGTGAATCACGAGAGGAAGCGAGGCGCGGAGCAGCTGATGGCAGCCGGACTGGGTGCCAGGCAGTGGCAGGAGGTGACGGGTTAGCACGTGGGTCTGGTTGGGTGAGTTTGGGTGAGCATGTGGGTCTGGCTGGGTGAGTGTGGGCGAGCATGTGGGTCTGGTTGGGTATGAGTTAGAACGTGGGTCCGGTTTGGTGAGTTTGGGTTAGCACGTAGGTCTGGCTAGGTGAGTTTGGGTTAGCATGAGGGTCTGGTTGCGGTATGAGTTAGCATGTGGGTCTGGTTGGGTATGGGAAGGCCTTGCTCTGGCTCGCTCGACTCCCGGCCGCGTTGCTCTCCTACCGCGTCAAAGCGAGCGTCCCGCGTCCCTCTCTCCCGGCACCCTCCTGAGCGGCTCGACGCGGGGAGGGCGAGCAAACCCTGCCAAGACGATGGCCCTTCGCTGTGGCGGGAGCGTGATGCTTGCCCCCCGCACGGCGGCGAAACAACAACAGAAGCTTGAGCTCGAATAAGAATAATACTGCTTTACTTTATACAGGTGAACGCGAAAGCCACTGCGACGTGTCAGTGAAACAATGGCAAACATATTCGTGGAGATATGCACGGTGAGTCAGTATAGAGAGTCTATTCCATTACAGCACACGCCACGCAAAAACCAAGATCCCCCGTTGAGCCTCGCAGACCTGCGCGGGCACCGTTAGCGAGCACCTATTAAGGCCGGTACGGAGTGCGGAGCGGGCACGGCTGCGTCTGTCACGTCAATGCATCGCTCGGTACTCATTTAAGCCTGAGTAGACCTAGTGGTTGGCTGGGTTGGATGGACGGAGGCGGGTGGATTGGCAGGGTTGGCATCCTGATGCTAGCGCTTGCTAGCGTCGTGCGTGGCTGGGGTCAGACCCAGGCTTGCTGGGTCCATAGCTCGGCGAGGAAACCACCACGCCACCAGTTTCCAACTGTGGGAAAGGAAACGTAAGGGCTAAAGCTAGAGGGCCGAGCTCTGCAGGGCTACACGGAGGATCTTCGTCTTTGACGCACACACACATATACACGACTTACAAGCGCGTGTGAAACATAGAGGTAAGGCACTACAACGGCACAAACACCAGTCCAATGGTCACACAAGTTAACGTCAAACAGGGCCTTACATCAGATTATACACCTGTGAATTGTATATATATGTTTATGCTGGGCCAAACGCGAATGCATGCACACACGTGCCCAACACACAACAAATGCGCATACTCTTATTAACACAGGACACACACGTACGTACATGTACGTACACGTGCTCTCTCTCACACACACAAGCGCGCGCACGAGCATACGACCCCATTAATTTGTACTCGAAGACGATCCGCTCAGTGCGGGAGCGTTTGGAACATTAATCAAACTGGAAATTGAGCGTGGTCATTTGTGCAAAGCTATCGTGTGCCGTGGGAAGGGAAGCTGTTCCACCTGGCGATGACGCCAGTTCCCCGTGTCAATTTGGATTCGGAACACTCTCCAGACGAAAAGGCAAAAAAAAGCTACAGCCAGATGCAGCCTAGAGAAAAAATCCCATCGCTCGATTCATTTCACTGCCCGCGTCTTTTCTTCTTTCTCTCGCGGTTGTGCTGCGTGTCGCTCCGGTGGGTTTTCGGGTCGTGCCGCGCATCATTCGGCACGATGTCCGACGTTTCGCTCCATGCGCTGGGAGCGTCATCATGGAACTCGTTTGCCAAAACGTTGGGACACCACCCGCCAGAGGACGCGCGGCACAACCGTGAAAAACACACCGGCGGAGGGAGCCATGAACAGATATTTTTTCATAAGGACTCCACGGCCTTGAAAGATGATAATTGCTTATAGCAATACACATCCCAAAACACCGACGTCTCTCACAGCAGCTACGCACCCCGGGCGTGAGTGTCCTGGGATGTCCCCCCCCCCCCGCTCCCCGCCCCCCGGTCTGAAGCGCCTTTAAATAAGAAACAAAGAACGCAGCGTGACGTTTTACGCGCACTCCAGCGACACCAATGTGGCCTGACCGTCGTGCTATGTTAAAATACGTCACAGAAGCGATCCTCGAAGTACGTTTTAATTCTCCCTCTCTCGCTCGCCAAACGAAGCTTCAAACACTTTGCGTCGGAGAGTGCGGGACGGCTACAAGGTGAAGATGAGAGCTGGGCTGTTCCCTTCATAAAACACCAAACGAGAGGGGGGGGGGGGTATTGGAGAGGGAGCCGCGTGATGTTACCATCACAATAAGCACGTAGGTTCAATTCCAGGTCATGCACAGATTAATGGGGGGTGAGGGGGGTAATTCATAAGACGCACGCGCCGCTCACCACACTCGCTGCACTCTCACGCACGCTCACACGCGATATATTTACGTACAAAACACACACAGCGTGTACATGAGCACTCAAGTCAATTCATATCTATCTAGAGGCATTACTGCTGGGGACACCCACGCTACACTTGTCGGGGTCAAACGGGACACGCGCGCGTGTGTGTTGGGGACAAGGGATCGAGGGGTCGGGGGGGGGGGGTGCGAGGTGCTCCGACGTGCCTTGCCCAGGCGGATTCAAGGGGTCCCAACACCACGAACGACGCCGAGCAGAAGGAAAGACAAACTACCGATACAACCTTCCCAGTCCCGACAGACACCGCGAATCAAAAAATTAACACATTGCACAACAAAATTGGAACAATAACAACATCATCATACCATACCGGTTTTAAAGATCGAATCATTCGGCATCGTTTATTATTTTTTTAATTTATTTATTAATATATCATTTTCTTTGCTCTTTTTTTCCTCGTAGGACGTCGCACAACTCTTGGAACCTTGCGGCGGGGGGGGGGGGGGTCGTGGTGGTTGGCGGAGGGACGTGGGGTTGGGGGGAGTGATGTTGAGCGACTCTGCGGCCGTGCGATTTCTCGCGCTCATTTCCTGTCCCGTCTCTTTGGTCTCTCGTCGAATCCGATTCCGATGCAAGCGTCGTCTTGGCGGTTGAGGGCAGCCTCCCCCGTGCCTTCCTCCTCCCCCTGCTACGGTCCGTCCCGTGGCGTGCACGCGGTCTCTCTCTCTCTCGCGCGCTCCGCAGTCTCTGCCTCGTCTCCTCTCTCCGCACACGGACTCTCCCCTCCTCCTCCCGTGCCCATCGCACAGATTCATTTTCTCACTTCTGCACTTTCCCCTTATGGGATCATGTGCAACATCACTGCACCCTTTGTGTATTTAATTTGAATATTTTAACCATGGTTAAACGTAATTAAAACCACACACTAAAACGAAGCAGCAAAAATATTACGATATTATTATTAAAACTGATTAACTAAATAGTAACAGGTTTCTGCTAAACAATGAAAATGTCTCGTTTTTTTCTTCTTCTTCTAAGATCAGGTCCTACTTTCACAGTTTGGGAAATGAGAATCGGGGCGTGGGGGCAAAAAAGTCGGCCAGGCCACGTGCAGTTTCTTCTTCTGTCGACAGTTCACGCGGCACCTCGGAGCCAGGCGAGGCATCGTGGCCGACCCGGCGCGGTCCTCGCCCGGACGCTGCGGCCCGCCAGAGCGGCCCCTCCTACGGCGTCACAGTCCAGGCCTCTCCCCGTTGAATCTGACAACGCGTGTTTATAATGCCTCCCGCGGCTCACTCACAATACTTAAGACACTCGACTCGTGTGTAGACGGACGACGGGGCCAGACACGCACGCACGCACACACGGAGAGTAGGACACTCGCTAAACTCAATGATGAAAGAGCTCAACGTATCATCTTCGTCACGGACGTATTTCAAGCATTTTCAATTAAATCCTCATCCCCCAGTAGCAGCACAAACTTAACATTAATAATTAACATTTAAAAACAAAACACGCCTAAAAGCCATACATATAGAGGTACACTCGATGCATAAAACGACTACAATCTGATGCGATTGTTAAGGACTCCAGTGTAAGATCCAAGCTTTGGGGCGAGCTTCACGATCCACAGACGCCTCTCCATGGATCCTCACGTGTTCAGCGCCGGCTTCTCGGCGCTGCGCCATCAGAACCCCTCCGGGCCGACGCCAAGCCCACGCTCTCCTCTCTCGCCGGCGTCGCCGGCCGGCGTGACGGTGAGCGGTCACCGCCGCCACCGCCGTCACCGCCGCCGGCGCCGCCACCGTCGGCGGCGCCGCGGCGATGAACCGCCGTGGCGCGGCGCGGGGAGCCCGTGGTCGGGGGTTTCGTGTAAAAAAAACGACTCCGTGTCACTCTCCTTCTTTTCGTTTCCTTCAGAGGTAAGAGAACTGGCCCATCTTGGGCGGGCTGAGCGGGTACCCGGCGTAGACTGGCGACGCGCTCACGTAGGCCTGCTGCGGGAAGGGCGCCGTCGGCTGGTAGGCCTGGTGCAGCCCCGCGGGCGACGCGGGTAGAACAGCCGGGTGGTGGTGGTGCGGGTGGTGAGGGTGCGCGTGGTGAGGGTGGTGGTGCGGGTGGTGCCGGGCGACGCTCACGGGAACCTGCGGATCGCACGGCGGGAGCAGAGGAGAGAAGAGGGGCGCGGGTTAGAGAGCGGAGTAGCGCGGACATCGACATTCTCCACCATCGCACACGCGTACGGCCCGATCGTCAAATCCACTGCTGGATGAGGGCTTCCCCAGGCTGTGCAGGTCGTGGGGGTTGTTCCACCGTATTTCACCGGTTGATGATGTGGGGGAGGGCTAGCCTTGATAAAGATATCACTCGTCACTGATGTTAGCCTTGGCCGGGAATCAAACTCATTTTGGTGGGTTCAAAGCACAGAGTGCTTGACGACTACGCCACTGCACCACGCTACCAGTGTCATTTTAATTCCCTCTCTGAAATGTAGATTTTTACACAGCATTCCCTGCTGTAAAAACAAGCAGCCCTCTTCACACTGATTAACATAAATAAGAAAGGGCTTTGCCCTTTTTGGCAATAATACATCGAAAACCGCTTAACCCGAGCTAATAAGGCTCAGACGTTTGCATCGTCCTTGCCGTTTCGCCTTGCTGTTTCGCCTTGTGCTGTTTCGCCTTTTGCCATTACTTGCTCCACAGCACCGTTGAGACAAAGCCATGAAAGAGGCGGTCTCTGGTGTAATCAGTTTCAAGGATAATGCTTACATTACCAAAGCATACATTTTGTATGTTTTACCATTAGCCACACATACCAAGTATACCAAGTATGTGCGGCTAATGTGGACTTGATGCCCTATAATAGGTGTTTATTTGATGTTTGAACATCTTAACACGTCCTGTATTATTGCCAGAAAGGGTAAAAGCCTTTACTTGTGTTTGGTGTCACCATCTTGTCTCTAGATGGGGCTACGCACCCCCCAACCCGCACAGCGCCTTAAGAGTTGCGGCCGTATTCCGGCGATGCGTACATCAAAGTTACGACCGTTCCCCCACGCACGGCGGTACGCGCTGTGACGGCGCGCAGTGCTGCCGCTCAGAATAATAAACATGCAGGTGCTGACGCTGATGCGGTAAAATACAATGAAGTTGATGTGCATAACAAAGTAACGGAACACTAACTCGAGCTTGTAAATTAAACAACGATTCACGGGACGGTGACTGCGCGCGCGACCTCCAGATAGAATGATTGTGCACACGTGATGCAGATTTAAGGCGAGACATTAGAATTGTGTCTGAGCGGGTAGACATTGACCTGAACAATGCTGATCACAATAATATTAATAATGTGTTTACCCACACCAGCTTCACTGGGTGGGAAGACTCGCGTTCAGGTGGGTTCTGCTTGGGCGAGTTTGAACATTTCACACATGGGATGTTTCCTGCGCGGGACAGAAGCCAAAAAGAAAAAAATTCCAAGCCTACCGAGGGACAACACTCAAAGGTGCGCATGGACAGGTTCACAACATAGTCTTGGTTCTTTCGGTAAAGTCACGTAGAAGGGAAAGAATAAAATAATACAAATATAAAACAATAATATTTTATTGTTTCCCTTCTACGTGACTTTACCGAAAGAACCAAGAATATGAATCCCTGCAGTCACGAAAGCTTTAAATCAGGCTGCACTACCGCTAAGCGGGATTGGAAGTCTCACCAATCGCACGTTAATAAATACAACCTCAGAGGAGCGGTGTTGCATGGCAGGACCATGACAGATGGCGATAACTTTGGGAGACCTTCACCGTGCAGTGATGATGATGACAATGCCGATGATGAAGTGGAGGGAGGTGGGGAGGGTTCTTCATTACGCTACTCTTCACAATAGGGAAGCCCCGAGGCCAGACATCAAAGCAGCGGGACCATTCGTTGCAACAAACTTCACGGGGGGGCAGAGTTAGCAACAACGTAGCCCGAAACAAAATCATCGTGCACTCCGAGCCACACGACGCCTTTCAACGACGCGAAGCGAGCGACGTCAACCCCGACGCACCTGGTGGAGTAGCCCCGTGGCCGGGTGCGCCGCGTAGGCGGTGGCGTGGTGCGGGTGCCCGTGGTGGTGGTGGTGGTGCGCATGCGGGTGGGCGTGCGGGTGCGTCCCTCCCAGGTGCGCCGCCGCCATCACCCCGCCGGGCGACCCCAGCGCCGCCGCCGCGGCAGCGGCCGCCGCCGTGTAGGTGTAGAGGTGGTGGGGCTGGCTCACGGCCGCCGCCAGGTGGGCCGGCAGGCCGCCGGCGCCCCCGGGGCCCTGCGGCGTGCTCGGGCCGTGGCTCCCAAAGTGGTAGGGAGCGGCGGCGGAGGTGGGCGGAGGAGCGGGGCCGGCGGCGATGGGCGGAGGGATGGGCGGTTGCGCCATGGTGGGCGCGACGAAGGCCTGTTGCCGGCGGTGTGCGTGGGCGCCGACGCCCGGCCGCTGATCCTGCATCAGCGTGGCCTGCGTCGTCGTTTTGTTATCGACGAGGAGAAGAAGGAAAAAAAATGAGAATTCCTTCTTCAAGATTGTCAACGCGATCGCTCATTTGGGTCACGAGCAGCCAGCGGCGCTCATCTCTGTCCCACGGCGCTTTGGAGGCCGTCAACGTTTGCGAGACTCTCAAACTGTCTGGGCTGCGATGTGGTCAGCGCATTAAATAGCCTCGCGACTCATTGAGGCATTCCTGGATAATTTAGTGAAATTATACAGAGAACCTCACACGTCTTATTGTCACTCGGTATAATGGAAGTGTTGCATTCACATCTCCCGTATGTATCAATGTGTAAATACAAGCAAATTTCCACTGTGTACCTACTGTAACTATGTGTCTATGTACACTAACATGAAACTACAAGGTATATGATACATCTAACGTTAAACATGTTGCGGTCTTCTTGGTCGACCGCCCCGAGCCAGTTTGCGGAAATTCCACATTCCTATGACAGGGACCAGTCCATTCATAGGATAGCAACTTGAGTCCTAAAGCGAGGGGGTAAAAGTGAGCCGACATTGTGCGCATGGCCGGCTCTCTCACCTGGCTCAGATTGAGCGGCTGCTGCTGCTGGAAGGGGTTTCCCCTCGTCTGCACTCGGCCCGAGGAGATGCCAATCCCTTTCACCTTGCCATGGTGGACCGTGACACCTGGGCGAGCGAGGAGGCACACAGAAACAAATACCAGTGACCTTGGAGGAACCTCAAGAGAGTCGCAGAAATTCACCACTGCAGGCACCGCCCTTCCCTTGTTGCGAAGGTGCGAATAATCGCCCCGATTCACTGTCAAGACGCGATTAAAGAATCAGTTGTCTGCTTTGTCTCGTTGGTACAGTCGATACTTGCATGGGGCTACATAATGGGCGAGTGATATCCGAACCAACCATGCTCTCCACGCCCGCCTCCCCTATTTCCAATCCCTAATGAGCCAGTGTGGCCCATCAACTCCCTTGGCTGGGGACAGCTTCCTCCAGCAGCGGATTGACAAAAGGCTGATGGTGATACTGACCGATGTTTCATCCTGTTACGCCTCGTTGGTTCTACACAGTATAATCGCCATCATCATCAACATCTGCCATGATCAATTCACTGTTGGATGAAATCCTTCCAAAGCTGTTACCATCTCTTAGGATCCTACTATCCGTCTGGCTCCTTGCACACACGAGCCGATTTCATTGCTCCATCTCCACAGTGGGTGCCCTCACAAGCATGTCCCCTACATTGGCTATCACTCCCTTGTAAGTCTCAAGCACCGGCCTTCATCCCTTTCAGCAAGAACTCCAGACCAAGCCCACTTATAATTTCATTACCAAGTCATATGAATTGCACAAATCGAAAAGAATCGATTACTATAACCACAATTCACTGCACACATTATATGGATGACAGATCCTAATGGATAAATAGTGACATCTATTTAGAAAGCAAACTAATTATTTTGTAATACTGCTGCGTTAGCACAGGTGCACAAGCACAAATAACAAAAAGTCAACACACTCGTCAATAACACAGCCATAAAATATGAATATATAAAGATGGAATAGGCTTTTGAGAACCAGGTGAGAGCTAACTTGGGACAGAAATAAAAAAAAAATTGGCCAGGGAGACCTTGGGTTGAAACACAAGGAGGCAAATTCCACAATAGTTTAAATTAGTTTTGCGAGTTAATGTTCACCCGGCACTCGGCACAAACAGCCACGAGGACTGCAATCTACCAACAGGACAATCAACGAGCCCCTGGCAGGGCGCTTGCCGGGGTAAGGAAGCATCTGGGCCGGAGCACAGAGCTCCCCCTACCCCCTCCGCCCCCCATTGATTTCACCGCTCCGGGCAACATCACAGGGACATGAGCACAGTGGGCGAGGAATAAAATTACATTTGTTTTAAAGTTGCTAAATGAAGCGACAAATGCCCAGAATTAGACGTGACTTCTGCGAGCGTCATCAAAACAACATTCGGCTTTAGACGAGTTACAGGTCCAGTGCCGGACTTTCCCTACGCCAGGGATGAATCGGTTTCGCTAGGCTACACACATCCCGCATCATCACCTGTGAGAAAATGTGCGGGTCACAGCCCCCCTCGCTTGATCAACTGGACATCTGTGACAAAGAGCTTCATAGCTCATCGGATTCCTCCAGTCTAAATAAAGATCCTGATTCTGATTAACTGTTGTGGTACAGACTTCACGAGGCATTGTGACCAGCAGACAATAGGGAGCAGGCTAGCTGGACCAGCCATGTATAGAACCAACGACCTTTGACCCAAGAAAAAATAATAAGACCGGTGAGGTATGACTGAAACACATAATTTGTGGATGTTGGATAAATTAATCATATTTGCAATAATGCTAAAAGCCCTGGCAGAGAGGCGAGTTGCGTGATGGTGTTTCCTCTCTAGACGCAATAAATAAAAAGGCTGCGCAGATTCCTCTAGGTTCTCGGAATTGTAGAAAACGTTTCTCAGCCTTGATGCTGACCTGTGATTGTAGCACTTATCTTGCGGAGACCCACCCAAGGTAAACAACACAAGCTGGAATTATAAAGCGAGCGCCTACCAAGATGCTTTCCTAAGGGGAACCGAGAGGTCTTGGGGAAAAAGGAATGTTTTAAAATGTTATTTAAGGGATGCAGCAGTTATTGCTAGGGTTGTACAGGGCAGATGATGGTGCTAGTTTTATGCTCGTTTAGCCATGCATTACGCACGTAACAATACATCTCTTTGTTGATTGAAATAAATGCTACCGCTCATGACACATGCATTGAACCGTGCGCCTGTGATAACGAACGATTTACGACTTATGCAAATCACATGCACAATGCAACACAGTTGGCAAAACTCTGCAGACGAGCCAGAACTGACGGGAAACAATTCAAACGAGACAGCAAAAAGAAATACAAACTTATTTTGGAATCCAGTTGTGACCCTGTACAAATGAGATGGGACCGATACGGGAAGTCAACCGAGACGGCCAAAGCGAGATGAGAAAACCAATGGCCTCTTGAGTCGTGACAATCCGCCGATTCATCACCGAGAACACGACCGCCGATCGTTTGCGACGCCCCCACAAGGCACTCTCGTCAACGCCGAAACGCAGAACCGCGTCGGGAAAACAGCGGAGAAGGGGAGGGGTTTGGGGAGGGGAGGGAACGCACCATTCGCGGCGAGCAGAGAGCCGCCGTCGGCCTCCGATGCCTGCGTCTTGAGCGGCGGCACGATGATGGTGCGCGAGTTTGCGCGGTGCAGCGACGACGACGATGACGACGACGGGAGGAGTGACGACGACGAAGAGGACGAGGAGGACGACGACGACGCCAGGGCGGCCGCCGCCGCCGAGGGAGGGGCGGCGCCGGTGCCGCCGGGCAGTGCGAGGTGCTGCCCGCCGGCGACGGCGCCCGACAGCGCCGCGACGGTGGGGCGCCCGCCCAGCGGCAGGGGGCTGGTGGTGCGGGACGAGTCCGAGTCGGGCGAGTCGTGCACCGTCACGCAGCTCACCACGTTCTCGCGCTGCTTGGACAGCAGGCTGCACGGGGAACGCGATGCACGCACGTCAATCGGGAACGCGACGCAGCAACAGCAGCCACCATTCGCCACTTCATGGCGGCGACGTCACCACGGCGCTCGTGCCGGGCTAGGTGCCCTTTGAGGTCGTCGCGTGAAGTGTGGAAGGCTCAGTGGCAGGAGGTTATGGAAGCCTCAAGAGGCGCGAAGACTCCCACGCAGCACAGTTCTGCGTGAGAGAGCATGGCCGCGGTGTAGCTGGGCGGCCGAGAGCGCCGAGTTGAGACTGCCCAGATAGCGGGTTTGAAATCTAGGTTCCAACGATCCGTGATTCGGCTCGGTTTCTCAAGCACAGCGAGTCGATTGGTCTCAGTCCAATTGCCAATGACTGCAAAATTGTCAAATGTCCAGTGCTGATATTTAAAAAAAATTATCCATCATACGATCTCACTGTAACGATCTCACTGTAGAGGTCAAGAGTGGGAGTGTGAGGAGGAGGTGGGTGACGATGTGGGTGAGAGAGAGGGTGTGTCAGGAGGTGCGTACCTCGTGGAAGGGTTGGCCCCGTTCCCCGCTCCAGCGCCGCTGCCCCTCTTCACGGTCTTCTCGTCCTCCTCGTCGTCCGTGTCGCTGCTGATGGTGATGACGCTGATGGCCGGGCTCGGCGTATCGCGGATCACAATCGGCTGCCTCGGCTGCCTCGGGTAGCTGGCACCGCCGCCGCCCAGCCCTGCGTCGCCCAGCCCGGCACCGCCGCCGCCGCCGCCGCCGCCGCCGGTCGCCCACACACCGCCTCCTCCTCCGCCCGCCGGGGAAGCCATCGTGGCACCGACCCCGCCGGCGCCCAGCGTCCCCGCGCTCACGCCGTGCCCGAACAACGGGCCGTCGCCAATCATCGCCGCCGCGGCCGCCGCGGCCGCCGCATTGGAGGCCGCGGCGCTCACAGCGGCGTTGTGCGCGGCCGCGGCAGCGCTGGCGGTGGTAGCGGTGGTGTAGTAGCGCGAGCCGGAGCTCTCCTTAGCTCGCTTGGATCGCAGCGGAGACTGCAGGCTCATGGGCTGCGACAGACTCATCTCGTAGTGTGACCTGCGGGAGATGCAAAGCGATGCGCGATGACGCGCCGCTTTCCTTCGTCCCACCGCCCACGCGGCACGCGCCCGCGCGACAAGCCCGGCAATCAGAGTTCGATTCCCGGCAACGGCTCATGTCAGTGGAGACTGCATCTGATACAATTACCGTGGTCGACACAAGCACGAGCCGCACTGACCGGCGTTGGAAGTACATTTAAACACACCGCACGACCAACATGGCGGTGTACCGACAACGGGATGTAGATTTTATTGCGTCGCATTCTGAAACACCTCCGTGTAGAAGATCACGTTCCTGGACCAAGTATTTTTGGAAAGGGGGCTTCCAAAACTCGAGTGTTCATTGTCGCAGCTTACGTGACGTTTCTCAACTTGCAAAACAAAATACCAATTGTGGGTCGCACGGATGTAGTAAGTTGCATAATTGCTTAACGTAATTCACAAGCGCGAATAAGCGAGTCTCAACATTCACCCAGCAGTGGATCGACAAGAGAGGCAGCAAGAATATAAAAATAAGATAAATGAATTACCTAAGAGGTGCTGGCCAAACGTCACCCCGCGCCCACCTGGCAGACGATGCGTGCATCAGCTGACGGTTCTTCTTGGCGCTGGCGGATGAAGACACCACGGCCGACGCGGCTGACGACGAGATGGGCTGCTGGCGCATGACGTGCGCGACCCCCACGCTCAGAGGCTGCCCGCCGGGGAGCGCCATGTGTCCCGAGAGCAGGGGCTGCTGCACCAGCGCGTTGTAGTGCGGTCCGTGCGCGTGGGCGCTCCTACGGTGGCGGCGGAAGTGGAAGGGGTGGCAACTGTGAGAAGGCGGTGGACTACGCTGTTCAGAGCGATATTTAACACGTAGGCTTTCGCGACCAATATCATCCATAATAGAGGTTTTTCTTTTTTTGCGATCTAATGCGATCTAACCCATTACAGAGCGATGTTGTTTAATTCGTTATTTGGTGATGTTCCAGCTGCTGCTGCGTTGACAGTGGTGCACGAGCACAAACAACAACCGAAAAACTCAACACGTTCATCAATAACACCGCGGCCTTAAAAGGAAAAAATATATATATATTACAGGTGCCGTTTTGGGCAATGGCCCTTCTTTGTAGCACGTGAGTTCAAACGTTCACACTTTATTACGTTGTGCCAACATAACCAGCATGTGCCAGCATTTGTGATCGCACTCATTCGTAGGAGAAGTTTAAACTTGATTTTCTTTGAGAATTTTCCAGGCGCCTGGAAGTGGTCACGGCAGGAACTTCACCGACCCACAGCGGGATTTCATCCAGAGTCAAGATTCCTGCTATTTACCTTCGTGGTTTTACATGTTTACAAAACAAACAAGATCCTGGCTCCGTGTCACATCGAAAGGGGGCACCTGCTGCACGGCATGCACACAACCACACTCTTTCACAGCCGATTAAATGTTTGTTTTAAAAGTTATCGCCGAGGTTCTGTTGATATTGATCGCAGACTCACAATGCCTTTATTGTTACCAACGTTACGTAACGTGCACCTTTTCACTGCTGCTGTAATGTTACCCTGTTCGTGACGCGCTTGCGAGGCTTATTATAATTTGACGGTGGTGATGGAAATTTATAGTGGTTCTTGGTGGTTGCAATGACAATGGTAAGGATGGCTACTCATAGTGTTGGTAGTGACAATGGTGATGATTGGTAGTGGTGTTGGTAGTGATTAGTAATTTCTTAATAGTGATGATGAAAACTGGTAGTTTTGTTGGTACTGATGATGATTGATAAGTAGTAATGGTAATGATGATTATGATTACTGCATCAATAGTTACAAAGACAATCATTGGCCGTAATGTTGATAGTAACAATAACAATCATTGTTAGAGGTATTGGTAGTAGCAATGATTATCACGACAATCACCTATTTTAATACTGCCCTCGACAGCGTCCCCCATGGAGATGGAGCATTTAAACCAGTTCATGTGCAGGTGCTGGATGGATTGCTGCATCGCAGAATTGTGGATTGATGACGGTTCATGATGATGACGACGTCTACAGCGGCACAACGTAACATCCCCTGGGCCTAACTCTGTTGTTCGATTTCAGGCGCCCCACCCCCCTCGTGCGATCACTCACCTCCAGTCGGGGATGCCCTGCGTGCCGCCCATGCCGTCCGGCAGCCCCGGGTGCTGCACGGGCGCGTGGGTGGGCACCGTCGGGATCTGCTGCCAGGTCGGGAGCAGGATCTGTTGGGTGGCGGGGGCCCAGCCCTGAGCGTGGCACGGCGAGCACACACGCAGACATGGGGCGGGGGGAAAGGACAGCGGTTGCTTCTCAATTCGTAACGGTGGCTGCGAAAGGAGCTTTGGGAACAACGCGGCCAGAACACGGGGATCGTTGAAGCCGGGATTTATGAGAGTGGCGCGCGGTGTTTCAGCGGCGGTCGTTCGATCGGTGCGCGAGCGGACGAGGGCCGCACGCCCCCTCCGCCCGCCAACCTCCAACCCCCCTCACCTGTGTGAGCACCCCGGGCTGCAGCTGGAGCTGCTGAGCGGCGGCGGGCGCTTGCGTGACGAGTGGCACGGCGTTCTCCACGCGCACGGAGTAGCCCGCGTGCTTGGGCGGCGAGGCCTGTAGGCCTGCAGGCCAAGCGAGGGGGTCACGGAAACGTAAAATCAGCGACCGGCAGTGGCGGTGGAGGTCCAATTTACGGAGGGACGGCTTTCGGGAGTAGCCCGCTGAAATCTCTGACACGCGATCGGCGAATGCTGCAAGCGGGTAAACAATGAAAAACGAACACAAGCGAGTGGCGGTGCGCGGGTGCGATCGTGTGCACTTGCGTGCGTGCTTGCGTACGTGCGTGAGTTTGCCAGTCACCCTGGAAGGTGGGCGGACAGACGATGAGCGCCTGCTGGTAGGGGTCGTGTCGTGCGAACGGCCCGGCCGCCGTAGCACCCGGCGCTGGCAGCGCCATCCCGCGCTGCGCCAACGCCGCCACCTGCCCTCCCGCAGCTGAGGCCTGCGAGCCGAGACGGTGGAGGGCGGGGGGGTGGGGGGGACAGCGGAGATGGGGGATGGTGAGGAAGCAGGTGTTTTGTGAGTGAGCCATTTTTCCTACTGCATGATTTATTAGTGAAGCTCGGGTGGCAGAGCTGCTTATTGCCTTAAACAAGTAATTATCTGTTCGTGTGAAATATGTCGCCGCTCCCGATAACTTCATTTTGACAAACAAAGGGATGTGTGTGTTGGGTGCGCGTTGTGTTTGTGCGTGTGTGCGCGTTGGGTGTACGTGTGTGATGTGGAGAAGAGGAGCGTAGTCGTTGCTGCACGCCCTGTGCTACGAACTCTGTGAGTCGGGGTTTATTTCTAGCAGCTGACCGCGTCAGTGGCAAGTGGTAGATGAACCTATACTTGGCATCCTTTAAGTTGACCGAGCCTTAAATGAGGTCTATGGTAAGAGAGCTCGGACGCGGCGGGGTCCCATGCCGAGCGTAACAAATGTTTGCTCACAGCAATTGGCCCAACAGTCTGTTGGCTTCCAGGTGGCACTATGCCTGAACGCTATCTCTGCAGGAGAGTGCGCAGTGGCATTCTGCGGTGCGCTTTGCCGCGCGGCGACGCGTTTTGTCCGGCACGACGTTCAACGACTTTCCGCTCCAAAGCTCCCATCATGTGTGGCGCAAAACATCGGGCGAAAGCGCCAGACGACGCGCGACACACAACCCCGAGAAGGCGCCTTTACGAGCCGGGCACCGTGACCGGCCGAACCCGACGGAGGAGACGTCTGTAGGTAAGCGCGACGCTCGGTGGCGAGATGTTAATTACTATCCCTGGTATACAGGAGGTTGTGGGTTCGATCCCGCTGCCTGTATATTTGGAGTTTGCATGTCTCTCTCTCTGCCCGTGGTCGCATGGATTTTTCTCCGAGTCCTCCGGTTTTCCCCTCCACGTTTAGAATCAACATGCATTTAGAGTATTTCGCTGCTATAAATTTCCACATAAGCCACTTCGTTGAGCTATCAGTTGTGGCCAAGTCACTTCTGAAAAAGAGCTACGTAGCTCAGTGGGGCCTTACCTGGTAAAATAAAAAATTGTTCATAGTTTAGTTTTTAGACACAGGAATTCCCGTCGTTGTCGAGGGTTACGGCGGGGGGGGGGGGGGGGTGACAGCTCAACGCTCGGCACTAATGAGGCGCCGGCGCGGACCGACCTGCGCGTGCGAGCTGAGGTGGCTGTTGAAGGTCATGGTGAGGTTGTTGGAAGTGCTCGGCGCCACGTGCGCCATGAAGGGCGTCTTGCTCTGGTTCAGCCGCTCGTACATCCCCACTCGCCTGCGGCACACCTCCATGTTCTGGAAGCACGCCTTGACGCTGCACGATGCGCGGGGGTTGGAGGGGGGCGCAGAAGGAACGCTTGAAGGTGAGGCCCTGCGGGCGCACGCTCTCGCCACTGCAGGCCTCCCCGCTGCTGCAAACTCCCCCGAGAGGGAGATTCCCCTCCCCGCCTTCCCCCCCACCAAGAGGGTACGTGGCCTATTTGTCCAAGACGTCTTGAAAGTGTCACGAGTTCCCACGGTTTACCCCGACACATGCAACCCGCCGTGTAGCCGTTTATAGTGCTGGGTGGACAGAGGTGGGGGTGGGATTTAGGACACGTGCCCATTATTCCAACACTGGGAGATCAAACTGGAGACCTCTGAAATGCAACTCTACCTTTCTGCTTTTTGTGCATAGTTTGTTGGCCTTCCCCCGCACCTCTGAAGAGGGGAAATTGCCTGAAACGTTGCCTATTATATATGTAAAGTTTTGTTAAACCAAGGAAACACCCCATAAATTGGGGGGGCAGCTGGCTCTATGAGTGCTGGCCTTACTTTACCACTGGTCCCAAACCTCTACGTTAGGGGCGAGTAACGGTTTCCTTCCTGAGAGCCAAGTGGAACTTTCCAATACCATTGGCGGGCACCCGCGCATGAGCACACACAGGGCCTCTTGCAGCGACAGAAGTGACTCAAATTAGAAAGGCAGTGTTGTTGCCAGGTCGCACAAAATATTCCCCTCCAGTACTCGACCAGTGCTGCCCGCGGCGACGCACAAACATCACTTGCGGCCTTTTTCTAAGCGGTAGGCTTCACGCGGCCACAGGCCTCGTGAAACGAAGTCGTGGGCTGTGTCTGGCTCACGGTTTGGGGTCTTCCCATGGCTCACGGTTTGGGGTCTTCCCATGGCTGCTTGAGCAGCAGGGCGTGTGAGAGACTGCCTCCTCCCCGCATGGTGGACAAAGGTCATTATGACGGCCTAGGCAGCAGTTCTATAAAAATCTGCTTCCGCGGGCTGCTCTCCAACAATCGGGAGGTTGCGAGCGTTTCAAACGGACGCTTCATCTCACGACACGACGGCAATAACAAGCTATGAATCAGGAAGTAAAAAAAACATAAGTAAACTAAAAGTTATCGGCGGCGTCGCCGCTGCGCTCACTGGTTGCTGTGCGGGTAGTCGAGTAGGTGCTGCATTGTGACGAACGGGTGGCCCAGAGTGTCGAGCGGCGTGGTGCGCTTCTCGGCGTCGATGGTGAGCATGCGCTTGAGCAGGTCGATGAACTCCCGCCGGTCGGCCTTCTCCGCCAGCATGTCGCTGCTCTCCAGCTCGGAAGCCACGTTCACCTGCAGCAATGAGGACAAATGTGACGCCCGGCGCACAGCGCAAACTCGCACGTGAACGCAGCTGGCCAAACACCCTCGATAGCGGGGCTCTCCAGAGCTCCCTCGTGGGTAGGCCCTTCCGCCAGCAGGGGCGTGCGCAAGAACTTGCAAGGCTGCACCTTTGGTTACTGCATGAGGATGATGCTCCACAAACCATTGCAAAAAGCAGTTGGATAGTATTCTTGGTTAGCATCCACATTTTTAATAATTTTGTTCTAAATTATTTTATTGAGCAATTTATAAACGTGCGACAAGAGGCACAGAGGCGTGCATCCAGCAGTGGATTGATCATGAGTCATCATAGTGACGATGACGAGGATGGTGAGTGATTGGTTGCTGTCATATGTATTCTATGCATTGAATATTGCACGTCAGTCCGTCGAGCCACTGTACATCTCGAGGAGTTGAGATAATGTTTGACGGGCGAAAGGCTCCGCATAAAAATAAAACTTACGATGGCGTAAAAAATTTGAATTCTGCATTTCAATGCAAAAGACTGCAAATACGATTCCAACATTCATGTAAATGCGAACACTGCTGAATAATCCCATGCCATGGCTCTCACGCATTCGTATTTTTTTCAAGACTGATAAACGGATAGACGGAGATTCATGTACTTGACGGACGCAAGCTCCGCCAGGGTTGTATGAATACAGATCGGATTTATGAGCTACGATTGCTCGCTTTGATTGACAAACACGCCGCGGCAATCCAAGCCAAGACCGGGTGCTTATTACAAAAGAGGAGTGTCAGGGCCAATCAAACGCACGCCCCCATAACGCCGCTCCACGGAGAAAAACGACGGCACCACACGACGACGGATTTGGCTACAGCTCCCCGCTGCCAAAAGAATCCCTTCAACACGACAGATGACGACAGCCCTTCGCACAGACGTTTGTTTGGATCGGACCACACCCAGCGCAGGACACGAGCTCCGGCGTAGTTACACGCGCAACGAACGCACAGCCACCGCGTCTCACACGCCCGATGCCCCCCACCCCCCACGACCCCCCCCTACATGGCTTCCTGTTCTTACCCAGAGGAGACACCCAACGCAGCTTATACCTAACCTGTTGTAATCGTGGACGACGAATAAATAAGGACTGAGTTTTAGGATGCACCTGATAGAGACGGCACTGGGGCCTGGGGGGCAATAGTGGAGAGAGTTGACAGCCGAGGTGGCAGTGGCACCCACATGGCCAATGCAGTTCAGGGATAGATTATGAAGTTGACGGGGGAATACATATCGGGGTAATACGCAAGAGTGTACTTGTCCACGTTGGTCAGTGTGGGTTGGTGAAGGTTCACACCTGACATGGTGATGATACACGGATGGCTACTCGCGTTCACATGCGCCCAGCCACTTGAGAGTTGCCTACACAGGCTGTAGAGGAGCGAGTGCTGTTAGCGAGCACCTATGAAGGCCGGAACGGCACACGAGAGACTGGGTGGTCAACACCACACCCGGTCGTCTTTGTCTCCATAGCGGTGATGTTTACACACCGCACCAGGTATGTATTTGAGGCTGAGTCACCCTAAGAGGAGGCCCAGGACCTGTTCAGATAATCATCACCGATGTGAGCCATAGGCAGGAACCGAACTCGGGTCGCCGGGTATGTCGCAGAGCACGCTGACCACTACACACTAGCACTCCCCCAGGATGGCAAGGCGCACACACAAGCAAACCCAACCCCTCACCTGTGCCATATCATCCAGGCAGTTGAAGATGTACTTTCGAGCTTCCTTTGACTTGATCCCCGTCTCCGATTCGTGCTCCTCCGGCGTCTGCATGTAGAAGCGTGCGTGAGCGAGCGCACGTGCAGAGAGCGCAGTCAAAAGGCAGCAAATTATGAGAAATGACTCAATGCTAGGGGTCAAGGTCGGGCATAAACCACGGGTCATTTTACATTTTGTTGGGGGGGGGGGGGATGAGACAATCTTGTGCCCCCCAAATGTTTAACGTGGTGGGAACTCAAACGCCGCCCCCTTGGTTGATGGCGGATGGCCGCTGGCGCGCGCAAGCCCGAGGAGGGTCGTCACCGTCGCTGCGCTGTGCTCACCTCACGGTTTGACGCACATCAAAGTGACACCGCTACCAACGAACAATAGGGCGCTCGATCCCCACCCCCCCCTATTAAATAGACACAGGGATCGCACACTTTGCACAAAGGATTTGCTCAGAGAGTCCAATAATAGTCGCAAAGCAGTTGTGCACCTCCCTTTTCACGTGGACAAGGGACAATGGGCACGCACAGAGGAAGCCGGGCTGCTGCGACGGAGAAATTAAGCTCTTAATTGCATTCACAGAAGAAAAAAAAAACACGGCGCGGTGCAACGCTCGTATTCTAAAACAACAAAAAAACGCGTCAGAATGTGTCAGTCGGGCACGTGACGGGATTAACCGGTTGTACCCCTACGCAGACTATTTCATTGTTCGCATTTTTAACAACCGATTGTTTGTTGTTGACACGAGGCTGAGGCTAACCGATACCGCACGAGTGACAAAGACAAGGAAATTGTACGCCTTGCTGGCAGTACATTATTATCTCGGCCGGCATACGCACGCCTCGCTCGCCCACAGACACACCAGACACCGTCCTGCTATCTCCGCTGCCGATTTACAATTAACCACAAACAGACAGGTGCCCCCCCCCCTTTCACCCGTCAAAGGCTGGGGAGACTCATCCATTATTCGAACGCGTGCCGTCCGATTAAACAGGAACGACCCGGCCGGCAAGTCGCCTTTACTGCCCAGAACCGGTCAGCGGCAGCCTCCATCATCCCAGTGCCGTGGCGCCACAGCCCCCCCTCCCCCCCATTAATTGGCGAGGCAATTGCGCGGCGCTGCTGCTGCTGCTGGGAGCTGGTCGGCTCTCATCCTCCGCTAGCGCTCCCCCTCCCACCCCAACCCAGCTCGCGCCACCGCCCGCCGCCTGCCGTTCGCGAGCATTAACGAACAGATCGGTTACATTTAAGTGACCCTTTTTTTAGCAGTGGGGAAGGGACGGCCGCGCTCGCGTGTCCATTTTTAATGCGCGAGCGCCCAGCGCACGCAAGTAAAGCGGCGGTGGAGGCTGCGGCCGCGTGGTTGTTTGGAGCCGAATGCCGTATACCGCGCGTGGCGGAGACACCTTTGCACGTTGCTCCTATGCAGCGCTCTTGGTGCGGAGCAACGACCCAGGGCACCTGACTACAAAAAGTATTTTACAATGTGAAAAAAAATATTGTCGGCCAATCAATCCAGCTCACGGACAATGTAACGCAAACCCAGATGAGTATTCACATTTTTAAGATTCGACAACTTCCACATGCGATTTTGGGCCCCACGAGTTCCAAAGGCAGGAAGCATAAATGACAACTCACGGCCCTTGCACCCGCCCCCCCGGATGTTAAACGCCTACACCAACAGCCCTGGGTGTTGATCCACTGCTAGATAGGGGGCTCCCCCTACACCGTGTGGGTAGCTAGCGGCGATTTTGTCCACGCATCACCAGGACCCTTTTAGCATCGCGATAAATCCAGGAAGGTGTAAGCTGCCTGTACAGCATGCGAGGTGAGCACACGTACACCCCGAGAGGCCTTTTGCCAATCCGCTGCTGGACGAGAGCCTCGCCAACACTGCGCGGGTCACGTGGGTCCTTCTGACCACGCGTCGCCACGCCGGTCGGTGCAGTTGAGTTTATGTGATTTGTCACGCGGATGATTCCGTGTAGCCAGTCGCCCGGCTGTTTCACAAGGGAGAGCCGTGGTGAAGGCAGGCGGCACAGAGACGTCCGAGTTCGATGGTTTATGCTGCACTGACAACGTAGTCCCGTAGCAGCCGATAACACCCTGTTTTGTATGCATGGTCGTGGCCGCCCATCCAAGGGCCATCCAGGCTCAACCACGATTTAGCTTGCGAGCTCTGACGAGATCGGCGCATTCCGGGTGATTTGTTCGCAGGCGCCCGGTTATGTGCGACGTTTCTCATTAACAGCGTTCAAGTCCAGGCTCGCAACCTCCCCCGCCTCTTCTGCCTACGGCCGACCGAGCCTTCTCTCAAACACGGACATCGTGTGCGCTTACACTCATATCCCTTCCTGGTCACGCACATGTCCCACCGCTTCGCACAGCACCGTGGGATGTGGCTGCATTTAGACACACTGGACGTCCAAATTGTATAACACACAGAGAACGGAAGAGTCAAGTGTGAGCTCCAACTGTGAGTTAGCCAACCACTCTGACAGAAGCGTCATTGCCTAAACTTGTAAGCCTAACATATAGCTATCTCTGGGGGTGTTGGCACATTGGTTTGCATTATTACTCTAGCGACCTGAACTCAATTCCGGGCTACGGATAACATACCCTGCCAAGATATCTGAACCGGTCTCTCGGCCTCTCTCCCTTTCACCAACAAGCACTGACCAGCATAGTGAAGTATGGTCAAACAACCCCCATGAACGACACGGCACGGGAAGGTCTTCATCCAGCAGCGTTTTGACAAAGGGCTGTGAATCATTATACTGTAATGTAATGTTTTATAATATATTTACAAGACAGAGTTAATGTTCATGTTATTGGTTTATGTGCACCACTGCTACCACAGCCCCTTAATTTATTACTATTATTACGTGACTTACGCACAACTGGGCCACATTCAATCGCTTTTGGTTTAGCATAAACTTTGCCGCAGTGCTTTCACCGTGGCATTTATGCACAATATTTCTGTATAATTACGCGTAAAATATATAACGGGCACAGCTTGGGACGGCAGCTGGCATCAATGCGCCGCAAGTGACGAACCAAAACGCGCAAACAATTCCATCCGTCAACGCCGACCTAAACAGTGCTCGGCGACCTGCAGACTTTATATATTTTTTTATGTTTCGCGAAAATATATCGCGGGAGTGTAGGGGAGGATTGAGAGTACGAGAGCCGCCAAACATAAAAACGGCTCTGGATGTTCTCGACATGTGTTGAGGCTTGATGTGAGCCTCTCGGACACCGCTGGGCAGTGAGCACGAGCGATGAGAGGAATCCGTGGCGTTTAGCTCTTCACAGCCGCTCGCCAGAGTTTCGTGTCGGCGAGCTGTCTGGGGCCGTGGCTCCAGCGGGCTCGCGCTGAAAGCCCTCTCGGATTTTAATAACGTTCAACTCTTGCTTATTCGTGTTCATTTACCAAATTTAACAAGTGGCTGGCAACTGCGGGTTATGTAATGAGTGGTTGAGTTCTCTGCTGGGTAAAATTACAGCTCGATTCCTAAGCAACAGCAGAGTCCCTGTGCGCTCAACCCAAGGTATGTACCGAGTACACGCACGCATGCGCACACACACACACAAAGACAGAGATCCACCATATAACCTTGAACAGACTGTTGGGGCAAATGCTGTGAGCGAGCACCTATTAAGGCCAACACAACGCGCAAGGGGGTGGGTGGCCAGCACTGTCCCCAACCGCATTTGTCTCCCCCAATGATCGATGTTTACACACCGCAACAGGTACTCATTTAAGGTTTCAGATGTTCATCACCGATGTTGCCTGTGAGCAGGAATTGAATTTGGGTCGCTGGGTCTGTAACTCAAGTACACCAAGCGCTGCACTCCTGCTCCCCACACACACGTAGCGCCGTGCGCGTACGCAGACACACGCACATATTTTACGGCAGGGCTTGATATAGGAATACCGCTGATAGCATTCAAACATAAATTCAGGGTGACACAGCGTAAGGGCAGCGTGTATAATCTCGAAGCGACGTCACCGTGGCATTTCCACCTCGACAGTCGCAGCGAGACGCACGGCCCGGCCAGTTACGAGCGATCTGGATAAACAGCACCTGAGCCCTGAAATAAAATAAAACTTTTCCATTTAATGGAGATGTCTGGGCTGAAACGTTTTCACCGTGCAACCCGGGCATTTTTGTTCGTGTCGAGCTATATAATATACAGCAGGGGGCTATGCTGTCAGCGGTGGGCAGTGCAACAAATTGAACGTCGTACTGTACTACGCTCCAACATCGACACTCCCCGCCGCCACCAACCCATACTGACGAGCGTGGCAAAGTAGTACGCTCAAGTGAACCCCCCACTCCCCCCCCCCCGACGAAGGCCCTCATTCCAGCAGTGGATCGACAAAAGGGGCTGCGCACCGACAGAATCCTCGAGTGGACCATCAGTAACATAGGAAAGCCGCGGCTCGTTTCTGCGCAGCCTCCTGGTGGCTACAGGCAGTGCCCACCGTCGGCCTTAATGAAGCCACCGCAGCGACGGTATCGATTCGCCACATTAGCCAGAGAAACGGCAGACATCGGCACCAGGCGCCGAAATTCACAACCCCCACCCCCACCCACCACCGGCCCCGCATCGGCCAAGCGTCTCCAACAACAACAGCGGCACAAACCCGAGCACGTGAATGCCGGGCCACACGCTGCGCATTCCCGGCAACTGCCGGACGCGGAAAATCGGAACGGAACGCGGCGGGGGGGGGGGGGGGGTCGGCGGCGCGGAGAGGAGAGGAGGGAGCGGTCGCAGAGACGGCGACGGAGAGCAGGGAGTGACCCTCCCTCCATCCCTTGATTAATTGCCATGATTATTTGGGATTGTGAAAGAGAATTCCTAAATACATTATTTTCTATCTCGTACGATCCATCTCGCTTGTACACCTTTATTGTATCCGTTGCTGTAAATTCTGGCCTCTATGTGCCATAAAGAAGGGCCATTGCCCGAAACATCGACTATCATATATGTTTCCCTTGAGACCATGCAGTGTTGTTATTGACGAACACGTTAAGTTGTTTGTCATTAATGCGTGTGCACCACTGCCAATGCAGCAGCAGCATCACCCAATAAACCGTTACCGTATTTGTAATCTCAGCATATAATTTCCATAAATAATTGACGAGCCGATACATAATTATAAGCCCAGTAAGTATGGAAGGAATAGGCCCAGACACATCCACCGTGTAGACGAAGCGATCAAACAACATTCGCGTTTAGCAGATAGATTGCTGCATTCCAACACCGTAAGAGATGACGGATTGGGAAGGCCCACATCCAGCAGTGATGTTGAGCATGGTTGACGATGACGGTTGTGACAGCATGTTGGGATGGCAACAGAACGGGAAGACCTTCATCGAGTCATAGATACATCATGTCTGATGAGGAAGATGATGATGTACAGAGGCAGCTGATAACTCGTAGGGATGGCGATGGCTTGGGAAGGAGGACGTCATCCAGCAGTGATAAGAGCATGGTTGACGATGAACGGTGGTGGCTCAAATCACATCAGGATGGTGCTGGCTTGGCAAGGCCTTAACCCAGCAGTAAACAGAGCATGGCTGATTGATGATGGTGATGAAGTGAGATGGTGGGGACGAGAGCGTGTAGCGACGGTGAGAGGCGCGCGCCAGGCGATGAGGCCCAGCGGCGCCGGAGCATGGCGGCGGCGTTACCTTGAGTCTCCAGAGCGGGAAGGCCGACTCGGGGTCACGCTTGAAGAAGCGTGTCGTCTTGGTACCCGCGCTCAGCAGGTACTCGGCCGGCAGGCCCTGCGTCTGTGAGATGTAGCAGATCTGCGTGCGGGCGTCACGCGGGAGAAAAGCATTATGAGCACCGTTGCCGTCCTGCGCTCTTTGGCCTCTTTGGCCTCGCGCCTCACCAACTCTCCGATGGAATTATCGATTGAGAAATACTCTCTTGGCATAATCCGCTCTCGGTGTTTTGCAGCGCGGGCCTCACCTGGTCGTACTCCGAGGCTCCGGGGTAGAGAGGCCAGCCCAGGAAGAGTTCGGCGATGACGCAGCCCAAGGACCACATGTCGATCGCCTCGCAGAATGGGAGCCCGAGGATGATCTCAGGAGCCCTGTCGGAAAAAATAACAAAGCGCAGGTCAGCCGAGATGAACGTACGCAGACAAAGACCCCCCCCCCGTATATCCCCTGTATAGCCTTTTGGGGCAAGCGAGCACGTACGAAGTCTGGCATGGCACGCGAGGTGGTGGTGTGTAAATCACCACGCCCGGTCGACTTCGTCTCCCCAGTGCTGATGTTTATGCACATCAGGTACTCATTTAAGGCTGGGTCGACCTAGGGGAGGCCCAGGATACGTTCAAACATTATCTACCAACGTTGGCTGGGTTCGTCACGCGTCGCTCTAACCGCTGCAATACAGCACTCCAACGTGTTCAAATACAGACACCCACGCGCTCACACGAGCAAGCATGCAAACGCACAGCACAAATTGATCAACCGCGCTCGCGCGCATACACGGCAAGAGTCAACAATCATCGCTCTCACAAGTACCGCTCTCATGCGGTGGGTACCACCTGCTCGAATACCGACCAACAGCTACCGCACACGGAAAGTATACAGATTCCATGATCAATACAACGCACGTATAAAAGGGTATTCCTGGGAGAGCCGCCGGCTGCAAGCACTTAAATTAATAACGGCCTCTGCCGATGCAGGTCGCACGAACCCAGAGCGGTTTCCTTGAAGCTGATGTCTCGCGAGTCTATCCTCGATGTCATAACGCACATCGGTGTGCTGCTCACAAACAGTGGGAAGGCATAATTCCCATCATGCCTTGCATGCTTGTCATGTGAACACCACATTTGTATGTACATTATACGAGGCTTTCAGCCTTGTCCAGACCACCAACTCAATAGGTGAATGTGTGGCACCTACTGCCATTTAGACTGGCATTGTACATCCAATGTTATGATATATTTACGTATTGAAATATTGCACCTGGAAATTCCCTTGAGATAAAAAAGTTAATTTGTAAGGGTGTCCCCGGGGTGATCGCATGACACACGGCGGTGATCAGGACATGCACACAAGGCACGGCTGGAGCCGGGCCCTCCTGCCGAGCGCATGCCTTTAAATCCATTGTTTCCAGCCTGCACGATGTGTGTATGTTGAACTTCTTTCGCACCGTACATAGCCAACCGTGCGGAGGGGAAGGACAACAAACTAAACACAAAAAGTATCTTCAAAGAAATGAGTGGTGGGCCTCCTCTCGTCTTTGCAGAACCAAACCGTGCCGCGACCGCCACCCAAGCACCTGAGGCGCTCCGCAGACGCGACTCGTCAATCAAAGCAACACTCGCTGCACGCACGCGCAGCCTCAGCAGGGCCCCGCGCACGAAACCGGTGGAAGACTCGGCAAGCGGTGAGGCCGACTGTGACAGTGGGCGCCTCCCTAATCCAGAAATCTTGAAGGAAATTAACAAAACACGCGGCGTGGTTTATATGCGCATGGGAATCAACGGTGCCGCTTTAACTTTGCAGTTATTTACTTCCTATTCGGGGTGAGTGGGCCTATCTTTTAGTCGTGGCATACAAAAATATATATATATATATTCTCAGTTGTCCCTCTTGTTGGACGAAGGGCAGTTCCACATATTGAGAAACTATCACAAAGTTTCAAAATGAACCGAATAGTGCGAGCGGGTTGCTATTTTGAAGGTAATTATCAATGGTTGTAGAAAATATGCTCGCATGTGCATTTGACACATGCACGCTCACACACACATGCGCACACACGCATGCGCCCACACATGCACGCAGAAACGTGCACGCACACATGCGCCCACACACACGCACGCACACACACACCTGAACGCGGCGGCAGCGTGGGTTAAAAGGTTTGTCCGAGTACGTCTGACACCGCGCTATTTTATGAGCATTTGCCCGTAATCAAGAAAGTTGGACAATTACTTCCATCTGAATCACAGCCCTAATTGGTTGACATACCATGGCCAAGTACAAAGCCATTTGTCGAGAATATACAATGGGGTCACACCAAGGAGGAGAGATGCAAGTGCTGCGACGTTAGTTAAAACGTTCCAGTCATGCTGGTGTCCAAACACACACAGTGGAAAAGTACAATAAATATAAAAATATAAAGATTTAAACTTAAAATAGTTCTAATCTAATCATTTTCGACAAACTTTTTCTGAAAGCTTGTTTTAAGATCACTTCCTGACTCCTACCCCTTGCAGGGGTGGGTAGGGAAATGGGAGGGGCTTGGCGGAGTGGTGGCGCAGGGGGGGGGGGGGCGGCGGGCACTCGGAGGCGCATCATGCGGACCAATGGCCCAGGTCCAGATGTCGACCCTGCGTCAGACCTCGGTCAGATCTAGGCCAGACCAAGGCTAGAACTGGGTCAGACCTAGGCCAGACCTGGGCCAGTCCAAGTTCAGTACTGCCTGGTTCCCAGTGGTCATGGAAACAAAGCATTGGGGGAAAAGCAATTCTCCACACGGAGCCTTCCCGCAGAACCACCGTACTATCAGTGAACAAAGACTCGATACATTTGACAAAAACACTGCCCTCAAAAGAAAAGTAGATCTAATAGGCAATGTCCCTCACTCATGGCACATGAGTATTTGTTGTTTGTGCTTATTTACTACTGAAAGTTCCGAATCAGACTCAAACAGTTGAGCTTCCCAGCGAACAGGATAACTGATAAGTTAACTGATTTAGGGTGCCGCATGCCGCTCCATTAACTTGCGGCTCAAAGCGGCATTTCCTCCCATCACATGGACGATGGGAACGGGGCTCTGAAACGCACGTGGAGGGTGATTTTCCATTTGTGGAGCGCATGACCGATCTGACCGCATGACCAGCTGTTAGCTATATGGACTCGGATGCAGAGGCAGCAAATAAATGAATGCAAGGGGGCAAGAATTGAAACGCGGTAGCAAGGGGGTGGCAGGGCACCCTTGCGAGAGAAGCTACGGGTGCTGACATGTACGCGTATTTGTTAGGAGGCAATGTTATCCAGGCGAACGCTGGGCTGTTGTAGAAAAGCACAAAAGTGCATTTTGATTGAAGTTATGGATTTCATTAGCAGGCGATGGGATATTATTACTCGGTATCGCACGATGACTACTGCACGATGTTGCCCGTGATATATCCGCGCAGGACAAGGAATGCTTATTGCGCATCATGTTAAGGAGACGACGGGGGCCGGAGAAAGGCGCGAACGGCAGAACGGAGACGGGAGCTTCTGGCTCAAATCAACGCGAGCGGTCGGGTTCAAGCGGTCTTTGTCACACGGCGTTCCGACTCGTTTGTCTGGGCCGCGCGTCGTTTGGCACCGAGTCCCACGTTTCGTTCCACATGCCGGGAACTTCTTCAGGAACCCACCATGCCCAACAAGAGTTCGCGTTAGGACTGGGGAACATGCATTGGGGAGCGATTCCAAACCACGATTCGGTTTGAGCGCCACGTTCGACAAATAGCGACGAACGATTCACCAATGCCGTCCTCACGAAATTGTACGGCTTACACATTTACTGCATAGCCGAGAACTTTATCTGTGGCAATCGGGGGCAGGTGTTGCGACCGTGGGAAGTCGTGCACCTGTTTGAGCACCCAGCGCGCCCGCACATGCACGCAGACACGCACGCAGACAGGCACACACACGTACACGCGAGTGTGCTAGAGTGTGTGTGTGTGAGTGTGAGAGTGTGTGTGTGAAGCATGGGCTCCCTGTGGGATGCAATGCGAGGCCCTACACACCCGTCGTCCGTCAGGCATAATAACTAGGCCTGTTTTTTGAGACTAGCAAAAAATAAGAGGGCTGGTGGGTGGGGGGTTATTGAAGGCAAAAAGGAACCCAGCTGCATCTGTTGAGGAGGCTGCCATGTGAGGTACCACAATTATGTTAACGATTTAGATTGCATCGTTTTTGTTGCCCGGTTAAATAAAATGCAATTGTAAACCAGCAGCCAGGAATGCAGAAATTGGCACAAAAGCTCTCGGGTCTCAGAAAACAAGGTGGGTCCCAATGAGGTGACAAAAATCGCACGAGGCAGGATCCACATCTTTTGAATCCTGTGCATTTTTATTTCTGATTGTGGAGCGTGATGCCGCGTGCACGCCGATGCGCGCCGACTCGTTTATTAATTAATGCTGAGCACAGTCGCATAGCAACATCCGACAATAGCGGCATCCACATCCATCCCTCTGCCGTCAACCCGGGTGTTACGCTGCACGCTCAACTGATAGTTTCTAAAATAGTGCAAACTAAAATACCGAACACATGCTCGCCCACTCACTCACTGGCTCCCACGCCATGCGTGCACAGCCACAGAAACGCATGCACGGGCGCAGCGTGACATCAAAAGGGACAATTTGGGGAAGTGGAACTCATCCATCAGCCTCGGTTTTTGCCGAGAGCCACTGCGGCCGCCCCAACGCCTTATCTGAAGCCATTAACATTTCCCCGCCGCTTTCGGCTCCTGCCCAAACGGTCGCCCGTTCCGCGGCAAGGTCAAAAGGAAAAGCGTTCGCACAAAACGCTCAAAATGCCTTCTGCTGGGTTTTTGTTTGTTTGTTTCAATGGTGAGCATGTTAAACCTGCTTCCCGTCTTCGGTGAACTCCCAAGCATGCACAAGAACACACGATCACACGCACAAATATAACATAATGGTATATATATAAAAAACCATACCCCCCCAGCAAACCTTTGGAAAACAATAACTTCGCGAGATCACCTGAACGCCCCCCCCCCTCCCCACCCAAGTTGCACCCTGCAAACCATTCACGGTCTGCTGCTATTATAACGTCAGAGCAGGGCCTGCAGAGGGTTGTTTAACAATCTGAACAAATGGGGCCGAGCGGCAGAAACGCCGCCAGTGTTCGTCGCCACACGCACCGAATACGAGGACTCGTGGTTCACCTGAGGATAGGGGGGGCACGTTGGGACATCCTGGCAGTTAGGCGCTGCCAACAGAAGCAGCGTGGAACCGATGAGCGTTCCTCCGCTACCCACATCTCCCCCTCACCACTCCTGCATCGTTAAAAAAAACACCAGGGCCCCCTCTTAACTAAAGAACCCTTCAACGCAGCC